TGGTGTCTGCTATATGGGAGACTTGGGCTACACCCATGGAGGATCCAGACAAAAGGTCCCTTCTGCTCTGGGGTTGCTGTCCCTCCCCCCAAGTTATCCTGTGTCAGCATCATCTTTTCTTAGGCATCCGGTAGATCTAGAAACAGTTTTTCCTGGCTTGCTAAACTCTTATTTCCTTTTGGAAAAGAAAATCACCCAAGCTTATTATGCATACTTCCTTCTCCATCACTTACTGTATAAATGTCATGCTCTAGTCTTCAAGGTTTTTGGTCCTTGATATGCAAAGCCAAGTTTTGTTTCAAAACAAAGACCTTTGTTTCTCAAACCCCAGACTCTTACTATTTAATTTATAATTTGGTTTTACATATCAAAAATTATTATCTCAGCTATTGGTCTTAAAATAATTCAACAATTGATATCTTTGTTCTAGAGCTACAGCTGCGATGTATAATAGAGTAGCCACTTGTGGCTATTCAATTAAAATTAACATGAATTAAAATTAAATAAAATTAAAAATTCAGTTTTTCAGTTGCACCAGCCACATTTCAAGGGCTCAACAGCCACATGTGGCTAGTGGCTACCATATTGGAGAGTGAAGATATAGAACAGTTCCATCACTGCAGAAAGTTCTATTGGACTTTGCTAGTCTACAGTTAGTGTGCTTGGCTGCTAACTGAAAGTCTGGAGGTTTGAAACCACCAACAGACACCTCAGAAGAAAGGCCTGGCAATCTACTTCAGAAAAATCAACCATTGAAAACTCTACAGAGCACGGTTCTGCTCTGACACACATGAGGTCCCCATGAGTCAGAATTGACTCAATGGCAACCAGTTAGTTCTACAGTAGATCTACCTTCCCCTTGAGGGCTATGAAATGTGGGAGTGAAGGTCAGTGGGTACAGAAAGTAGGGATGGGGGATGAGGTGGCTGCGGAAGAAACCTCAGTTAATATCTCAAAATGTTATCTTGCCACAGTTTTTGAAGAAAGTTTTGAGCTTTAGAAGCATAAATAATTGCTCTTGATGGAATTTCCTCCTCTGTTTTTCTAGAAGAACATTTTTGGCAGCTGGAAATGTTTCTGCCTACCAGTCTGTCACAGATGGCATGTACCATGGGTTGCCACCAATGAGCAGCTCTCTCGTGAAGAGCATATTTTCTTCACAGCTTGGCCTGCCCCAGCCACTGGATCCATGGAGCCTCCAGGTGTGTTTATAGGTATTTCTACACCTATAAATTTGTGTGGTGCATAGGGGGTTTTGTCACTTTGTTTCTGTTTGGTTTAAATTTTGCAAGTGTTCTCAGTGCTTCAACGCACTTCAGTCTTTACTGGCTCCCCTTCCCTCACACGGGGAGAAGCCTGGGCCCTGTGGCCAGCTGTTATTCCCAGTCAGGGTCTTTGTCTCCAAACTGCTCAAGGGGCAAATGAGGCAACAGTTTATCTACTCACAGCTAATAGCAAAACCAACACTTGCTCTTTTTCATGTAATAAGTAAAATGATAGCAATTAGAACACATAAATTAGGTCAGCAGCTGACCTGAATGGCCCTGGTTACAATGTTGTATTATCACAGGTGATCTTGGTATGTCTTGTTGCTCCTAGGCAGCATCAATACTACCCACCATCTACAACTAAGAAGTTTAAGGCTCAGGAACACCAGAGATCCCATCACTAAAGAATCATGGCAGCACTTGGTCACAGCTGTATTCATTATCTATTGCTGGGTAACAGATTAGCCCAAAATTTATCAAATTAAAGCAATGAACATTCATAATCTCATGTTGTTTCTAAGGATTAGGAATCTGGGAGCAGCTCAGCTGGGTGGTTCTGACTCAAGGTCCCTCATGAGGCTGCAATCAAGGTGTCAGGCAGGGCTGTAGTCAGTTCAAGGCTCCACTGGAGGAGAATCTGCCTCCAAGTTCACTCACATGGCTGTAGGCCTCAGAAGATCCACTTCCAAGTTCATTCCCATGGACCTCTCACCATAGGGCTGCCTCACAACATGGCAGATGGCTTCCCCAAGAGTGAACAATCCAAGAGAAAGAAAGAGAGAACCCAAGATAGAAGGCATAGCCATTTTATTACCTAATTTCAGAAGTGAGAACCCATCACTTGTGCCATATAGTGTTCATTAGAAGCAAGTCACTAAGTCCAGCACACACTCAAGGGGAGGAGCATTAGGCTCCATCTCTCAATGGGAAGAGTATCAAAGAATCTGTGGACATATCTTTAAAACTACCTCACAAGCCCACGTCTTTTACTTCAAAACTTTTGACTTGATGTTTTGATGTTATAAAGCTTAGCCTAAGTGACACTAACATCAACCTCAACAAGTCCCACACTTTCACCTACTCTAGCTACAGGACAGTGACTCCTGGCCCAAGACTTTACCCTCATTTAGACCCAGAAGACAGGGTTAGATCCTGGCCGTTGGGCCTGCTCCTGCTGCCTTGGGCATTGCCTGGGGTTAGGTGGATGCAGTTGTCCTGGCTTCTTGCTACATGAAGTGACTTGGAGCAAGTGCAGGAATCGTGTGAAATCAGCACCAGATCTGGAAGCATAGAATGGGTTCGGATGGGGAGGCCCACCACATCCAAGGCTGCACATCCCACAAGGAGTAAGGGATGCCTTGGTCTTTGGACAGTAATGTGGAGAAGACAGAGGCTCACCTGTAATATATAGTGGCATTGATTTTGAGTTATCTAGAACTAGATCAAAATGGTGATACAGGAAATTTTTTAAGGTTCATAATATTGAGATTATTTGAGTAAATTTACTTTTTCTGGAACATCTAAACACTGGTGATGACTAGTTACACTGAACTGTTAAGTACTCTCTGTGGTAAGCCAACTTCTGGAGGTAAAATTGGTTTTTAAACAAGATTATTACTCTTTCCTGTACATCATCAGGAACCATCCATCAAGAAGTGTTTCTACATAATAAATAAATCACCCAACAGTGTTTTAGGATACACTCGAAGACATCCTGTTTATATGTCTAGTACTTATTGGCACAGTACAGCATTATCATGTTTATTATCTGATTCTTTTAGGCATTTGTGCTGTTCCCTTGGAGATCATTCCTGGAAGATGGAGGACCGTTTCCGGTTATGAGTAGCAGCCCAGATACCCTAGAATGTAATATGCAGGTAGTGCAGATCTTTTCATTTATCACTGAGAGAGCTGAATGCAGCTTGCAAAGCAGGGCTCTCATTAGGTTCATAGGCTATATCCTTCACACTCTAACCAGTGGTGAATAATCTATGAGATAAGCAGAGTGTTTGATATGTTATAAACCCGATACTGAAAGGGGAGTCATTTTTTTACAACAGGTGAGAATCATGCTCTCAGCTGGTATCTGCCTTAGCTGAAGTTCCCATGACCGAAGGTATCTGCGAGGGCAGTCAGCCACTTGCTGTCTCTGAGCCTCCTAGAGAAACACCCAGGCTGGCAGCTCAAAGTTGTGTCACTCCTGACTCACCTATGGAATCAGTGGCGGGAAGAGAACACTTTAAGCAGGATTTATAAGGAATTTGTTTCAAGTTTGTGTTTTTCCCCTGGTTATTTAAGTAAATTTTGTTGCACTTTCATTTAAAAAAAATAGAAAATATTAAAAAATATTAAGAATAACATGAAAATCAACCATAAATTTGCTTCAGTATGGAGCGGATGGGAATGGGGCAGGACTGGCCATAGGTTGATGATTGTTGGGGTTCAGAGATGGGAGCATGGGCTTCATTAAACTATGTTGTTTGCTTTTGTATATGCTCAGAATTCTCCACAAATAAGAAGTTTGGGGGAAAAAAGTAAAATAATAATAATGGTTTGAAAAAATCAGTCAGAGCCTGCCACTAGGAAGCAATCACAGTTAACATTTTGGTTTTTCCAGTATTTTCCCTATGCTTACATGTGTTTGTGTTTGTACTTTTAAAGGAATATTGACCTCACACTACATATTCGGTTGTGTGTTCTTTTCACTTGATTTGATATAGTAAGAATCTCTAAATGCCATTATGGAATGACGTAATAATATTCCTCATAGGAATTTACCAGAATTTATGTAACTATAGCCCTGATGTTGGATATTTATATAGCTTCTGATGTGAACTACTGTAAATAATGCTGCCCTGTACAGCCTTATCCCTCAGCGTCTCTGTTTCATTAGGATAAGTTCCTAGAAGGGGAATTGTTGAGTCAAAAGGTATGAGCTTTAAAATTCTTGGTATCTATTACTGAGTTGCCCTACTTGAAAGTCGACACCAATTTAGAACCCCACCAGAAGTAAACGAAACTGCTTTTACCTGCCACTCTTGTCACTTTCAGGTATAATTATCTTAAAATATCTGCCAATTTCTTAGACGAAACTGCCAAAGACCACCTTGTAGCATGGCGTGAATTCAAATTTACATTTCTGGAAAAAGAATTTGTTACCAAGACTTTTCTTCTCAAAAAGAGGAAGCTCTGAGCACTTCTGCAGAACTTAAGCGGTCTTTAACCAGCTTATAAAAACTCCCTTCTTGGGTTCAGACAGGTAGGTTTCAACTATTCCCATTGAATCCGGTAGTCAAGTTAGTTCTTCTGTGTTTGTGTTTGGGGATGTAGCACGTACCCTTGATGAAGTGTATCGCACAGCATCTTGTATGCTTTGACTTACGTTGTTGTTGGGTGCCATCAAGCTGATTTTCAAATCAGAGCAACCCCATGTGATGCAGTAGCACTGTCCCACAGGGTTTTCTTGGCTGTAATCTTTATGGAAGCAGATCTCCAGGTCTTTCTCCCATGGAGTCGCTGGGTGAGTTTAAGACACTAACCTTTAGGTTAGCAGCCAAGCGCGTAACCATTGTGTCACCAGGGCTCCTGCTTTGACGTATAAAATGTGCTAAGTTTGCCCCTTTTGCCCAGCTGGATTTTGGGCAGACCACAGAAGCCCAGGCCCTAGGCAACAGGTTTTAGGATTAGAGATTTTAAAAGCTTTCATTCACCCAACACAGAGGCTCAGGGGAAATGCCAGGGTCAACACCTCGAGTAGACCAGTGGCCCCCAGACATTCTGGAAGAACCTCCAGGCAATGAGAGAACATGTCTGAGTGAGCTTTTTTTTTTTTGAGGTCCTGAACTCAGGACATTTATAATAGCAGTATAATCACACTCACAAGGACCATAAACCTTGTGATTTTCTAATAAACTTTTTCTTCCTTTAAAAAAAAAAAAAAACACGAAAACATCAGACCTTGTGATTTTCTAATAAACTTTTTCTTCCTTTAAAAAAAAATATGAAAACATCAGAGATATTATTCAAATTATCAGAATGCTTATTCTGCATTGGCTTGTGATCTGGATTGTTGAGGTTGTAACTCTTTTTAGCAAGATGTGGTCAAGAGAATATAGATACCCCATGCAGACGGAAAATACAGCATGCTGTAGTTTATGAAGTTGAGGGCCCAGATTTAGCAGCAGAACGTCTGTTCCTACCTCTGCCCCATATGGAGGCCATGACTGTGACCCCGAATGCCTCTGAGTTTGTGCATTTTGAGGACCAGACGCAAGGTACTGTAAACAAACATAAAGGTCAATTTTTGCTTCTGACAGCCTCTGCCTCCTTGATAGTTGGGCAGCAAGCATGTCAGTCTGTATTGCCTTCCTAAAGCAATGGGTGTGTGTCTGTCATCCTCCAGGAATGTCACTCAGCCCACAACCTTCCGCTCAGTCACTGCTGGGTCCACTATGTGCAGACACTGTTCCAAGGGCCGGGAAACTTGGCACTTCCACATAGACCCAAAAGGCTGATGTATTAGGCTAGAAATGTTACTTCGGTTTTTATGGGTTTTCTAATAGATAAGAGGGTAGGGCTTGTAAGCACAGCTACTTCTAGTTTTCTCTCCCAAAATTATATGTAAAGGGTATGGAGAAGTCTTCAAAATAACTAATTTATTTTTTTTTAGCTATGTCTGTGTGGTCTGAGTGACCATGACCGCAAGGTGGCTCACGGAGAGCTGGTGGGCATGCAACCGCTAATGGATGATGTGATTCTGAGCAGCTATCATGCGATCATGGAGGGTTCCCCAGATGGCAGTCCACACTGGATAAAAATACACAGGTATTCATGATGAATAATTTACATAAGTGGCTGGGGCTGTATTGTAATGAAAGAATTTTCTATTTGGGGGATGAGCTAGAGAGCCACATCTGGCTGCAGTTTCTCCTGGTGGGTCCCAGGCCTGTGCTAATGCCACATCTGAGCAGGAGTGAAGCAGGGGTGCCCTGTGAAAGCTACTCCAAAACATTTCTTCCACTGTAAGTCCCAAGTCAGTGGTATATCCATTTCTTTTAATTTTGAAAATAGAACAAGGTTATGGGAGGCTCATTGAAACCAAATGAAAAAAATACTCCAACTGAATGCTTTTCCTTGTGAGTCACACATGTAGCACTGGAATTAGAGGGGCCAGAGGGGTGGGGTGGAGGTTCCCAGTGAACATCTCAGGAGTGGGTTCTCATCCACATCACTCAACTAGGCTGTGGACTTCTAGGCAAATATCCCCTCCTCTGAACTTGTCCCTCTGAAGCTCTAAGGTACCAAGTACCACTAGCCCACCTGGTATCATAAATTTTACTTTAAACAGTTCTGCATGTATCTGCAAACCAGAGATGTGTTTGGACACAGGGTAAGCTAGCTGATCCCCCGTTTAAAAAGCATCCTTTTCAGAGCCAAATTTTTTGAAAGATACCTACACCAGCCATTTCCATGCCCTTACCTTCTATCCACTCATCAAACATTGCAATCCATCTTCTCCCACATCACACCACTGAAACTACTCTCATCAAGAGCACCCTGGTCCTTGTTGCCAAATTCACTGCATACCTTTTAGTCCCTTTCTTACCTGACCCCTTGGCAACATGTGACACAGTGTCTTTGAAACCCTCTATGTCCTTGGCTTCCACAGCACGACTGTCTCCTAGTTTTTCTCCAACATTGCTGGCCACTCCTTCTCAGACTCCTTTGTAGGCTCCTCGACTTCTGCTAACCCCTAAAGTACTGGTGTTTCTTGAGTTCTGTCCTACTACTACTACTACCAGGAGCCCTGGTGGAGCAATGGTTAAGTGCTTGTCCACTAACCTAAAGGTTGGTGGTTCAAACCCACCAGCAGCCCCTTGGGAGAAAGACCTAGTGATCTCTCTCTCCTCTGTCCTCTCACTCAAACTGGTCCCTCTGGTGGAAAACTTCCCCTTCCTCCCATTCGCTACCTCTTCATCTGTTTAACTCCTACTAATCATCAGGTTTCACCTTCCAAGTCACTCTCTTTAGGAAGCTTTTCCTAGTCTTCCACCTTCAAGTAGATGCTCCTTTTGTGCAAATTAGAGTGCTCCGGCTGCAAGTTATAGAGTGTTGCACTAGCCATGACTTAGAGAAGTTTATTAATCTTCCATAACAAGAAGTCTAGAAGGCGGCAGTCCAGGTTGGTGCAGTCACTCAACAATGTTTTCAAGGAGTCAAGTTCTTCTATCCTGGGTGTGTCAGCAAAATGTCTCCCTCATCCTTGCAAGATGGAAACAGGAACAAAAAAAACTTTCTCCTTGAGGGGCTCTATCTCTTTATTAAGGAGGAAATTTTTACCTAGAAGCCTCCCAATAGATTTCCCTGTATCTTGGTGGCTGAGATTGAGTCATATGTCCACTCTAGAACAATCAATGGAAAATGAGTGGGCTTAGACATGCCATCTAAATTTCACAACAGAATCAGATGCTTTACTTGGAGCATCTGCCAAAGTGTGTGTAGACCAAGTAGTGCCAAGTTCAAGAAGCAGGCTGAACTCTCGGTCCCTCTGTTTACCACTTTTTGGCCCCATTTCTGACTAATTATCATCTTTTCCTGACATCGCACCCTCCCCACCTTGTTTTTTCTGTCTCCTGTTCCTTCTCCCATCCTTTAAAGCACTTACGTAGACAAGACTCCTCTTAACATGAATATATTAATAAAGTAAGTTTGCTTTAAAAATACTATTTGTTTTAACTAGTTTTATTTTATGATATGTTTTTATTTAAGATATTCACAAGGAGACCTGGTAATGCAATGGTTAAGCACTCAGCT